CATCACCGTCAGAATCATGTGCATCAGCATCAGCATCATAATCATCATTATCAGCATCATCGTCATCACCATCAGTGTCGTCCTCATCATTATCGTCATCATCATAGTTATTATCACCACCACCACCACCACCACCATCATCATCATCATCATCATCATCATCATCATCCTCCTCCTCTTCCTCCTCCTCTTCCTACTCATCGTCGTCATCGTCGTTCGTCGTCGTCGTCGTCGTCGTCCTCCTCCTCCTACTCCTCCTCCTCGTCATCATCATCATCACAATCAGCATCATCATCATCAGCAGCAGCATCATCATCATTGTCATCATCAGCATCATCAGAATCATCAGAGTCATCTTCATCATCATCAACAGCATCATCATCATCATCATCATCATCATCATCATCAGCATCGGCATCACTATCATCAGGAGCAGCATCAGCATCATCAGCATCAGCCGCCTCAGCGTCAGCATCGTCAACATCACCCTCAGTATCAGCATCATCATCGTCATTATCATCAGCACCTTATCATAATAATCACCATCATCATCATCATCATCATCATCATCATCATCATCATCATCATGATCATCATCATCATCATCATCATCATCATCATCATCATCATCTTCGTCACAATCATCAGCACCGTCATCATCCTCCTCATCAGAATCCTCATCCGCATCCTCATCCTCATCCTCCATCCGCATTCTCACCATAATCCTCATCAACATCATCGTCGTCCTCATCAGCAGCAGAATCAGCATCATCAGCATTATCAGCATCTGCAGCATCATCATCAGCAGCATCATCGTCACAATAATCAAAATCATATTCGTTATCATCAGCATCATAAGAATCATAAGCATCATCATCAGCATCATCGTTACCATCATCATCACAGTCATCAGCATCAGCATTAGTATCAGAATCATCATCATCAGAAGCAGAATCATCATCATCAGCATCACCAGAATCATCACAATCAACATCAACATCAACATCAGCATCACCATCATCATCATCATCATCATCATCATCATCATCATCATCATCGCCTGTATCTCCTTCTCCTCCACCTCATCTTCCTGCTCTTCCTTTCTCCTCGTCCTTCCTCATTCATCCTCCTCCTCCTTCTCCTCTCTCCTCTCCCCTCCTGTCGCCTCTCCTCCGTCTCCTTCTTCTCATCGTCCTCATCCCCCTCATCCTCCTCGTCCTTGCTCCTCCGTCCTCCGCCTCCTCATCATCCTCAATCCTGCTGTCTCCCCTTCACCATTCTCAACCCATTGCAAATAATAACTCACCCCTGTCGCACCCCAGAAGTGTTGGTAGGGCGGACCTGGCGTTTCGCCTGAGACTTCCACGCCATTTATGATCCTAACTGTGTACTTTGCATCAGTTCCAAGGATGGAGGGCGAGTCATTTAAAAATGTAGCTCTCGCCTTAGCGTCGCGCACATTCGTCTTCAACGTGTGCAACAGCTTCACGGATGAGGGCGATGGGTTATCAAAATGTGGCACTCGCCTGAGCACCGCGCACACTCGCTTACAAAGTTCGCGACACTTCCACGGATGGAGGAAGGGTCCGCTTCAACAGGTGGAACTCGCCTTAGCGGCGCACCCAGTCTTCGTAGAAGTTTGCAACAGCTTTACGGATGGAAGGCGGGTCGTTTTCAACATGCGGCTCTCGCTTTAGCGCGACTCGCATTCGTTTTGAGGTGGGCGGGTCCTTTTCAAAATGACTCTCTCACCTTAGCGCGGCGTACATTCGTCCTAGCAGTTCCTTGTCAAACGTGACTCTCGCTTTCGCGCCGCACACATCCATCGTAGAAGTTCGCAGACGTCTCACGGAGTCGTATGGTCGAAGTCCTAGGAATAATGTTCTGGCACGACTTAGGATTACCAGGACGCAGCAGTCACGTTGATTTGCGGTGTTGAAGTGCCAGGAATAGCGTTCTGGCGCATTTCCGACTGTCAGGGCGCAACAGTCACATTGATCCGCGGGGATGAAGTCCCAGGAACTGTGCGTTGGCTCGATTGAAGACTCTCAGACTGGTCTCTTCTAATGGAACACTTCCCGCAATGAAAATGAACTGTTGCAGGGACATCTGAAGGACATTGGAGAGAGAGTTCATTGCAACATCGTTGATGCATCTTGGGTTTACACTGGCCTATCCTCCTCCTCCTCCTCCTCCTCCTCCTCCTCCTCCTCCTCCTCATCATCATCATCATCATCATCATCATCATCATCATCATCATCACCACCACCACCACCACCACCACCACCATCATCATCATCATCATCATCTCATCATCATCATCATCATCATCATATCATATCATAATCATAATCATCATCATCATCATCATCATCAGCATCATCACATCATCATCACATCATCATAATCACCACCACACCACCACCACCAAAACACCATCATCATCATCACATCATCATCATCATCATCATATCATCATCATCATCATATCATCATCAGCATCATCATCATCATCATCATCATCATCATCATCATCATCATCATCATCATCATCATCATCATCATCGTCATCATCATCATCATCATCATCATCATCATCATCATCATCATCATCATTATCATCATCAGCATCATCATCATCATCATCATCATCATCATAAGCATCATCATCATCATCATAAACATCATAAACATCATCATTATCATCATCATCATCATCAGTAGCAGCAGCATCAGCATCAGCTTCATCATCATCATCACCATCAGCATCAGCACCATTATCATCAGCATCTTGATCATCGTCCTCGTTATTAGCATAATCATCATCATCAGTATCAGTGTCATCATCGTCAGCATCATCATCGGCATCATCATCATCAAGAGCATCAGCATCAGCATAAGCATCATCAGCATCAGCATCAGAATCATCATCATAAGTATCAGCATCATCATCGTCAGCATCATCATCACCAGCATCATCAAGAGAATATGCATCATCATCATCATCGGCATCATCATCAGCATCATCATCACAAGCATCGTCATCATCATCTTCAACTTCATCATCATCATCATCATCATCATCAGCATCATCATCATCGCCCTCCTCCCCCTCCTGCTCCTCCTCCTCCGCCTCCTCCTCATCCTCCTCCGCCCTCATCCCCCTCCTCATCCTCCTCTGACTCGTGCGTTTCCTTTTCTGTGTCCTTCTCCTTCCTCCATGGCGCTCCAGTGTTCTTGCTGGTTTCGCCTTCGCTCGCAACTTCTGTTGCCGGCGTCGGATTAGCTCCGCTAAAATCCGCCACAACTATCCTCATCCCTCCCTCCCTTCATTCCTCCCTCCCTCCCTCCCCTCCCTCCTCCTCCTCCTCCTCCTCCTCCTCCTCCTCCTCCGCTCGCATTCCTCATGCCTGCTCCTCCTCATCATCATCATCATCATCAGCAGCAGCAGCAGTATCATCATCATCATCATCATCATCATCATCATCATCATCATCATCATCATCATCATCATCATCATCATCAACATCATCATCATCATCATCATCATCATCATCATCATCATCATCCATCATCAGCATCATCAGAATCATCATCCGCATCAGCAGCAGCAGCAGCAGCATCTTTCCTCCTCCTCCTCCTCCACCTCTTCCGCCTCCTCCTCCTCTTCCTTCTTCTCTTCCCTCCTTCTCCATGGTCGGCGCTGAACACGGTGGGGGTCCGTGTGGCGCCAGAGAAACAAAAACGTCCACCAACCTAGATCCTCGAAATCCGATCGTACGGGGGGGCAGCAGCATCTTTCCTCCTCCTCCTCCTCCTCCACCTCTTCCGCCTCCTTCTCCTCTTCCTTCTTCTCTTCCCTCCTTCTCCATGGTCGGCGCTGAACACGGTGGGGGTCCGTGTGGCGCCAGAGAAACAAAAACGTCCACCAACCTAGATCCTCGAAATCCGATCGTACGGGGGGTAAGGAGGAGGCGGAGGGGGAGGAAAAGGAGCAGCAGCAAGGGGACTAGGACGGCGGCGTTTCCGATGATTCTCGAACTTCCTGGTGGTGCTCAAATGTTCGAAAAGGTTTCCGCGGAGATCCTAAGATTATCACGCGAGTTCCACTAGCTTTCGCATGTTCTCGGAGGCTTCGGGAAATGATGGGAAGCAGCAGGTGAAGCGAGCTGGCGCATGAGAATTCAAAAAGAGGAGTCAGCCGTCGACCCCTCGCAAAAATCCCGTCGCAGAGGGGCGTAATCCTCCAGCTCGCGTAGCGAGCGTGCGCCAGGCTGGGAGCACCAGTCGTGGGCAAGGCGAGCGGCGTTGGAGGGGACGAGAAGAGGAACGCTAACGCACTAAATCGTGCTGGCAGGAGGGAGGAGGACCAGGAGAAGGTAGGCGGGAGCAGACGAGGCGAAGGGAGGAAGAGAAAGAGGGGGGAGGAGGGGGAGGAGGAGGAGGAGGAGGAGGGAGGAGGATGAGGAGGAGGAGGAGGAGGCGGGAGGAGGAGTAGGAGGGCGGAGGAGGAGGGAGAGGACGAGGAGGAGGAGAGGAGGAGGTGAAGGTGGAGGAGAGAAGGAGGAGGAGGGTTAAAGAGGCGGGAACGAGAAGGAGAAAAAGATTCGGGAAGGTGGATGCTAGAAGGAGGATGAGGAAAAGGGGAGAAGCTGGAGGAGGAGATAGGAGGGTGAAGGAGGGAGGATGAGGAGGGAGGATGAGGAGGGGGGTTGATGAAGGAGGAAAAGGATCGAGGTAGGCGATGAGGGTGGGAGGAGGGAGGGGGGGGGGAGGAGGAGGAGGAGGAGGAGGAGGAGGAGGAGGAGGAGGAGGAGGAGGAGGAGGAGGAGGGAGGAAGGAGGAAGGAGGGAGAGGAAGGAGAGGAGGGGCGAAGGGAGACGGCAGGGGGGAGGTGGAGGCGAGAGGCCAGAAAAGAGGGAAGACGCGGAGGAGGAGCAGGAGGAGGAAGAGGAGCAGGAGGAGCCGGAGGAGGGGGCTTCCCTCTGAGTTCTCAGGGCCTGATATGGCCCACGGTGCGGGGAGCTGGCGCGCACGATGTCGCCCTCGACGTGAATGCGTCGGCCGGTGTGGGCCCTGAGCCACACGGTGTCGTTCGCCCGGATCGCGCCAGACCTTACTGCAATCGAGCACCGCCAGATGAAGGCGGACAAAGTCGGATCAGGGAACCCAAACAGGTAGCCAAACAACCTCGCTGGACCCACCAAGCGCACCAGGCGACCACGAGGCGGCCACGGGGGGCAACGTGGAAAATCCTCACCAGACACAACCATTTCCTTAGTGGCATAAACAAGAAGCCCATAACTGCAAACACTGCTCACTGAAATTGGGAATACGTGAAGGCCGGCGAGTCTGGAGGATGCGTCCGCCTCCGCGGCTGATCCAAACCGTTCCAGAGCGCTCTAAAGGCGTCTCGGAGCGCTCTGGAAAAATAGATCGATCAAGCAACGAGCAATCGAGCAACGCTCGAAGGACTCACAATCACGCACCTAACGGCCCTCCTCCATATTCTCCTTCTCAGCATCATCATCATCATCATCATCATCATCATCATCATCATCATCATCATCATCATCATCAGCATCAGCATCAGCATCAGCATCAGCATCAGCATCATCATCATCATCCGCATCATCATCATCAACATCATCAATCATCAACATCATCAATTATTAGTATCATCATCATCATCATCATCATCATCATCATCATCATCATCATCATCATCATCATCATCGTCATCAACATCATCATCACCCCCACCATCATCATCATCATCACCACCACCACCACCACCACCACCATCATCATCATCATCATCATCATCATCATCATCATCATCATCAGGGGGGCGGGGAGAGAGAGACGAGCAGGAGGAAGAAGGAGCAGAAGGAGGAGGAGGAGGAGGAGGAGGAGGAGGAGCAGTAGCAGCAGCATCGAAGATCGAGGATCGGGGCCTCTGGCCTCTGCCCCCCTGGCGCTGAGGCCCTGGCTCGCGCTTCTCCAGCACGAACGCCTGCCGCGGGCCCTGCAGACCCAGGCGCGCCCGCAGCCGCTCCCCCTCGACGTCGAGGAACTTCCCCGTGGAGGCCTGGCAGACTCGGCGGGTGACGGATCTCGGCGGCGAGCAGGGGGGGAAGTGAGAAGGAGAAGGCCTTCTCGGAGGGCGGCGGGACTCCTCCGAAGCCCTCGTGACTTCTGAGAGATCTGCTGCGCGCTCGGGGGAGGCATAGAAAACTGATCATCAGGCCAGGGGACTTCCGAGCCTTCTGAGAAGGCCCGCGCCTCCTCACTTCCCTCCCTCGCTCGCCGCCGAGGATCGGATGGGATCGAAGAGGAGGAGCGAGTCAGTGAGTGGTCTCGGGCTCCCTAGCGAGTCAGTGAGTGGTCTCCTCCCCCCTAGCGAGTCAGTGAGTCGCTTCTCACTTTCCCCCGGGCTCGCCGGCGAGTGTTGCGAGGGGCCCGTCCACCATCC